TTCATAAACGGTCAAAGTAGGTAAAAGGTGGTCCTCTTGATCAACATAACTGAATATCATGATAATAATTATGAAGATAATAATAAATAATCATTTCTACAATTAAAATCACTTGCTTTGGGAAAATAAATTTACATACCCAACCACATTTTTGAACTCGACATCTCCTACAATACGTCCATTAACCAATATTTCTCCTTTAACCCTACCAGCTTTATTCTTTCGTGCCAAAATGTCTAAGAAACTTGTTTTACCAGCACCAGATCCACCCATTATTGCCATAACTTCTCCCGGTTTGACTACTCCATGTATTGAATGGAGAACTGATTTATCGCCAACAAAATAACTAATATCTCGGAAAAGCAATGTTGCTGGTATATGATTAGCCATGAGTTTAGAATTCTCATCATCAGGGAGAGTAATAGACGTCGGAGTTATCCAATTACGAGACAAATAAAATACAGCTTTAATAAAACATTTAATTAGATATTCTGTAAATTACATTTACTATCTTTTGTTTAGAAACATTAAATCAATATTACCTCCGAAAATACCAGCAACAAATGTAAGCACCGCTATCAAAGATACTATTATCGTATTTCTATTATTTGGCTGACGTGGCCTCTATTTATATATAATTTAAATATTAAAAAAATTTTATATTTAACAAAAGTATAACTTCTTAAACCTTACTTCGAATCCAGGAACTTCGGTATAATGAAGACATTCGCCACTTTTACAATCTAAAGAAATATAACCATCACCAAAGATTTGCAAAATAAGTTCATTCATAGCAGGTTCTAATAAATATAAGATATAAAAATTAGATTCAAGTCAATAAGACTAACTGAGAAATTCTTTATGAGGAAATTGTCATACCAGAAAAACGACAATCATCAGGATTATAGCATTTAAATTCTGCGGGTCCCTTTATTTCTTCATCTAGCCATTCAGTAAGGTCTGATAAAATAATAATTATTAACATTATTTTATCATTTTATCAAAACAAATTTCTAATAATTTATGAATAATTACATACCAATACTACCATCCTTTCCACACAACATTTCTCCAACTTTACATTTACACTTTATCTGTTGACAATTATATTGAGTTATATTTTGATCATAAGTTATTTCTTGATCGAATGAACATTCATCAAGATGACAAAAGAATGATTCTGTTTGATTAATCCAAACTATTTTTAAATATTAATAAATTGTTTAAAAAAATTAACACTTTTAAAAAAAATTAATTTAAAGCATCATTAATTACATTGAAAATCACACGTTTCTTTCTTGCGGTGACAAGAAAAAGTGACTTGAGGAGGTTGATCGGGAAGCATATCAAGAATTTTCTTATCTATTATCGAAAAAATTTAATTAACCAATCAAATGTTCGGTCATAAATTGATTTTATAATATAAAAAAATACAAACTTTTTACATCACACATTTGAAAATTCTCGTAAACAGTCAATCCTCCTTTATAACAAGTTCCATTTTGTCCAGTGGGTACAAGTGGATCGCAAGCCGAATTAGTTTTACAAACTAATAAAAAATAAAGTTCATAAGTTTATTTAGTTGATAATTAAATTAAGTAATATAAATGCAATTATTTAACAAACCATTGCAATTTATTCCTTCCCAGCCTTCAGAACATTCGCATACTTGATCCTTTTCACGCGGACGACGATTTGGTCCATCTGCCAAAGAATTACAAACAGCCTCTGAACAATCCTCACCACCAAATCCAGGTGGACAGAGACATTTTCCGTCAAAATCACTACAATTAGCAAAGTGAGAACATTGGAAAACGGGAAGGTGGCAGTTGAAGCAAGGCGGACATTCAGGCTCAAGATCAGCCCTCGTTTTGAGATTTGAACAATGCTGAGAGAGATAACCAGCACGTGGAGAGAACAACGTATTTACAAATTGTCGTGTTTCTTCTCGTGTCGGCTCTGATGCCAAACTGATCGGCATCATAAGACAAGTCAGCCAAAGTAAAACAAAAATGATCGAATCATGATGGCACTTTTGTAAATAAAACATTACGAAAAAAATTTATCTAAAGTTGTTTGAATTAAAGCAATCAAAATGTATAAAAACCATAAATAAAAAGTATATAAAAGAATAGGAGTATTAAAATTGCACAGAATTTTTTATAATCAAATGTGCGACATGCCCGATTGGTTATTTTATTTAAAGATTTGAATTATTAAATTATTATTAATATTAGTATTTATATAATAAAATGTTAGTACTAAAGTAAATTATAATAATTAATTTTAAATACATTTATTTTACTAACTATTAAATATATTTCTTGATTTTAAATTTAATGCGATAATGCATCTTAACTTTATTAACAAAATAAGTAAAATAATAAATTACATAAAGAAGTCTATGCAAAATAAAAGATACTAACTCTGAATAATAATAAAAATTAGACTAAGTTCAGTTTGATAACTACTTCATCACTATCAAAAATCGGAAATAAATTTATTAATTAAAGTACTCCAATTAGAATACTTATTATCTATAAATTGAAGCATATTTGATAGAGTTTTATACTTAAAAACTTTTCTTTACCCAACAAATGCAACGATAACAACAACAATTGAAAGGACCGAAAAGAAAGTGAATAGTTATGCTCTGGAGATTAAAAAGTCGGAATTCTTAGGTGAAAGAGTTAGCGAGGCAGTGAATGCTTCATTTCGTATGAGTGGAACTATTTTTAGATTGTTAGAATTTCATTCTGGAGTTGACCGTCAATTTGGATCAAATTATGAGAAGGTATATAGGGAGAAGAAGTTACATATGGGATTAAAGGGAAGTAGTCGTTCCGCCTTTTAGTGCAATTGAATTTGGGGCTACAATTGATAAGATTAGTATTGATATTCACTTCAAAGCAAAAATTCGAATCACTTGGAAAAGCAGATCGATTGGATGAGAATGGAAATGTTGTTCCAATGACTGACGTTGATATCGACGCACTTAAATGTTATCTCCAGAAGGAAAATTATAATATTATAAGCGTAGTGGAAGAAGAACATTCCCTTCTTGTCAATACGATTGGTTCTCTAAAAGTAGATGGATATGGATTGGCTTCAACGATTGAAACAAAGCCTCTTTCGGGATATATTCCTTCAAAAATTCTGAGGATGGTTTAATGATTACATTTAGAATATTTTACATTGCAAGTGTTTTAGGTGCTATTGTTTATCTTGTTAGAAAATATTTACTAGAAAGACGTCGCATTACTATATAGTGAGAACGTTCGATTTTTTATCCTCTATATTTCGTTATGTATTTTATGTATTTTATCAGTATTCTGCCAAAATAAAAAAAATTTATATATATTATTTTTAGATCCAAATTTCACGTGATGGATAAAGAATGATACCTTTCGTCATCAGGTGGCTTTTTTTCATATTCTTTCATTCCGAAAGTGGAAGGTAAACAACCTTTATCCTTGCTAAATTTAGTAATTTTCATCTGGTATTATATACTTGAATACATTTCGTTTTCAAAAAAAAAAATTTCTGTTCTCTCTTCTCTCTTCTCTCTTCCTTCTCTCCCCTCTTCCCAAGACACATTCTGTTTTTGTGTCCCACTC